TCACCTTCCCCCGCCAGGGGGCGCCAGCCCGCGGCCATTTGACCCCGCCGGGCCCGCGCAAGTGTCCACACCTGTGAGATGGGGCGGAGCTGAGAGGATGAGTGACCACACCCATGCGTGGGGAACGCACCGCCTCCTGGACTTCTTACCTCTAACTTGTCCCGGAGGACCCCTCACCCACTTGGCTCCCCGCTGCTCCCCAGTCTTCCCCATCTCAGCCAAAGGCAACTCCATCCTCCGAGCTTCTCAGGCCCCAAACCTTAGTTACCCCCGGCTCTTCTCTCTCAAATCCATCGGCAACCCCAGGCGGCTCTCCCTTGTGAAGATTTCCAGATTCTGATACCCACCCACCACCCCAGTGCAGCCATGCTCACCCAAACCTCCCTGACCTCCCTCAGCAGGCTCCTCGCCGGCTCCCCACTTCCCTGCCCCCGTCAGGTCCCCACTCAGCAGCCACACTGACCCTGTGAGCACATTAGCTGGGTCATGACCCTCTGCTCAAACCCTCCAATGGCTCCCTTCTCACTTAGGCTAAAAACCAAAATCCCGCCCAGGTGGCGAGGCTCCGTGGTTGAGCAACGACTTATGAACCAGGAGGTCACGGTCGTGGGCCTGATCCCAGTGTGGGGTGTGCAGGAGGCAGCCGATCCGTGATTCTCTCTCATCACTGATGTTTCTCCCCCTCTCTCTTCCTCTCTAAATTCAATAAACATATTTAAAAACAAACAAAAACACCAAAACCACACAGTGGCCCACCAAGCCCACATGATCGGTGAAGGGGCGAGTCGTCGCGGGGCCTATGTGGGCTCGCCCTGGGAGGGGCTAGGACTGCACCCTCCATCTTGCCCTGGGTCCTCCATTTTTGGGGCAGCCACCATGTGCTCAGGAGAGTGCCTTCTTCCCGGAAGCCCAGGCCCCTGCTGGCCACGCCCGGGATTTCTTTGAACTAACCAATGACAATCAAGGGACGTGCCGCCATAGAGATGAACAAGACCCGACTTGCGCCTGGCCAATCGGCGGGGCCCACAGTCCCCTCCCCTGCCCTCACTATAAAACCCATAATCCCATCAGGCCTCGCTCTCTAGGCCACTGGGGTTTACCGTTGCATCGTGAGTGTGGCAGGGGAGCCAAACCTAGGTTTGAAATAAATGACTCTTTGCTTTTGCATCGGACTCGCTGGCTCCCTGGTGGGCTCTTGGGAACCTTGAGATCTGGGCACAACAATCGGTGACTCTCTAACCGCTGTAGCCCCGGCCCAAATACTCTCGCTGACCTTTCTGCGGCCAGGCTGCTCCGTGCTGCTCCTCAGGCTGGCCTAGAGCCTTTCCATTTCCTGCTCCCTGGGACCCTTTGTCCCAGATGTCCCCTTTGTCCCTGGGCCACTCCCTCATCTCCTCCAAGCCTTACAGGTCACCTTCTCTGACCACCCTCTTCAACAGGACAGCCTCCTGCCCCCAGTATTCTCTAGCATCTTTCCCTGACTTGCCTTTTCTCACGTCCCATGTCATTTATTAATTTTGTTGTAAATCTTTCTACACCCGGTAGGATGTAAGTCCCAGGAAGGCAGGACTTTTTATCTGTTTGCTTCACTGCTGTATCCCCAGCTTCTAATTTTGTGCCTGGAACATAGGACGCATTCCTATTGTTGAGTGAAAGAGTGGATTAAATAAGTTACATTTGGCAGCACTTTGTAATCTGCTCAATCCTAAGAAGCTGGTAGAAGTAGGATCTTCAGGGAGACAGGCAAACACACCATTGCTCACTGGTAATAATAATGATTCCCCCCTCGTTTTATTATAAAAATAACACAAATAGAGGACAGAAAATTCAAATGGAACAAAGGGCATGCAATGGGAAGTGAGGCCTGCGACCCCAGTCTCATTCCCCAGAGGGAAGCACCCTTGGAGTTTCTTCTGAATGATAATGATTAAAATGTCAAAGCATAGGGTCCCAGAGCAGGCGTAAAAATAAGAATGTTTTCAACATAATAATAATGTTTTAGCCCGGCCGGCGTGGCTCAGTGGTTGAGTGTTGACCTATGAACCAGGAGATCACGGTTCGATTCCCGTGGGGCACATGCCCGGGTTGCAGGCTCGATCCCCAGTGTGGAGTGTGTAAGAGGCAGCCGATCAATGATTCTCTCTCATCATTGATGTTTCTCTCTCTCTCTCTCTCTTCCTCACCCTTCCTCTTTGATATCAATAAAAATATATTTAAAAAAATAAATAAAATAACAAAAAATAATGTTTTAAAATACAAAGACACAAAGAGAAGGCGGAGAGATTTCAGGATATTTCTGTCCACTCCTGGGCACAGCCACAGATACACAAACCCTGGGACAAAAGTGCCCCCACCAGCCCCTCACACATGACCTTCAGGAAGGAAGCCGCATGTGCCAGATGACTTGATGGGCCACCTCCTTCACCTTCATTAAGTGATGGGCTGGGGAACCAAGGGCGGTGGGCAGTCTAGTGAGGCAGCATGATGGGGGGTGGGGGTGGGGGCTGGGGCAGGGAGGAGTATCTCCAGGTGACAGGAGGCCAGAATCGAGTCCCAGTTCAGTTAGTTCAGTTACTAATTAGCTCTGGGACCTGGGTCAGGTGCCCTAAGCCCTCTGAGTCTGTTTCCTCATCTGTAAAATTGGTGACAAATGTTCCCCTGCCTTACTCAGCTGGTTTATGAAAGCACTTTACAAACACAAAATGCTATGCAAACAAGTCATCATTCAAGTCAACAAAATTGTTTTCATTATGGAAAATGTCAAGTGCACATTAACAGAGAGAGTATCAGAAGAGTACATGTCGTATGATCCCATCCTATGTAATAAAACCCTAATATGCAAATCGACCAAACGGCAGAACAACCGGTCGCTATGACATGCACTGGCCACCAGGGGGCAGATGCTCAACGCAGGAGCTGCCCCCTGGTGGTCAGTGCACTCCCACAGGGGGAGTGCCACTCAGCCAGAAGCCGGGCTTGCTGCTCCTTAGTGCTGCCTTGGAAGTAGGAGTGCTCGCCAGCCATGAGCCGGGCTTCAGGGGTGGACATACCTCAAGGGTTCCTGGACTGCAAGAGGGCGCAGGCTGGGCTAAGGGGCCCCCCTCACCGCCCCTTCTAGTGCATTAATGTCATGCACCGGGCCTCTAGTTTAGTGTAAATGTCCAGAAAAGACATATGTATTTAGAGAGGCAGAAAGCAGACCAGTACCAGCTGGGGTGGGAAGGGCATTGACTAGTGGGCTCAGTGAAACTTTCTAAGCATGATGGAAATGTTCTAAAGCTGGATTGTAGTGATGATTGCACAACTCTAGAAATTTACAATGTTATTACATTGTATACTTACAACTGGTGAATTTTATCAATATGTAAATTATACTCCAGAATGCTGTTTTTAAAGAAGCAAAGATAAAGTATGGAAAATAATCAATAGTATAATAAGATTCAACAATTATAAATTTATGGCCCATCTTGTTTCACCTACACCCATATCCATGAACAAGATTTGTTGTTGTTGTTAACCCTCAACTGAGGATATTTTTTCCACTGACTTTTAGAGAGAGTGGAAGGGAGGGGCAGAGACAGAGAGAGAGAAACACACGGTGTGAGAGAGACGCATCGATTAGTTGCCTCCTGCACCCACCTGACCCTGGATCGAGCCTGCAACCCAGGTACGTGCTCTTGACCGAAATCAAACCCGAGACCCTTCAGTCCTTAGGCCAACGCTCTAACCACTGAGCAACCAGCTAGGGCTCCATTAACAAGATTTTTAAAAAATGTTTTATTTATGATTTTAAGAGAGGAAAGGAGAAAGAGAGAGACATCAATTTGTTGTTCCACTTTATTCATTGGTTGCTGCTTGTATGTGCCCTGACTGGGGATCGAACCCACAACCTTGGCATATTGGGATGATCGATGCTCTAACCAACTGACACCCGGCCAGGGCCCTTAACAAGAGCTTTTAACGTCATCAGATATCCCATGAGTGTTCAAATCTCCAGTTGTTTAGAAATGTTAGAAATGTTTGCTTACAATTTATTTGTTTAAAAGCAGGAGTCACATCAAGTCCACATATTGTGATGGGTGGGCATGTCTTTTGAGTCTGTTTTAACCGACATGTTCTGCGGCAGAACCGCTCCTCTCCCCTCATTTGTCCTGCAGTTTCCCCCAGTCTGGAGGGGGCTGATGATATGTCCCTGGGGTGTCATTTAAAGTGCTCCTCTGTCCTTTCGACTGAAGTTGGACCTAGAGGTTTGACCAGGTTCAGGTGCGATATTGGGCAAGACTGCTTCACAGGCGGTGGCGTGCACTCCCCTCATGGGGCACAGTGTCTGGTTGTCTTTCTTTTTTGATGCTAGCAACTCAATGCCTAGATCCATCCATCATTCATTCAGGGGACATAACAATAAAAGTATTTTTATTATAAGGTAAAACCCACCAGCTGAAAACCACTGTAAAGCAAATACATTATGAGACAAACGCTCTTGCAATCACCCCTTGTATTAAGAAATAGATCTCCAGCCACCCAGAGGTTTCCATCTGTGCCACCTCAATCACAGTCCCCTTGCTCCCTCCAAGAGTCACCGCCATGCTTGCTTTTATTGTAAGGATAAACACGGACACACAGTGCCCGGCCTGTGTGGCTCAGTGGTTGACCATCGACCTTTGATTCCCAGTCAGGGCACATGCCCAGGTTGTGCACTCGATTCCAGTGCGAGGCGTGCAGGAGGCAGCGGAGCAATGATTCTCTCTCATCATTGATGTGTCTGTCTCTCTCTCCCTCTCCCTACCTCTCTCTGAAATAAATAAAAACGTATTTTTAAGACAATAGACACAGCCCTAGCCAGTTTGGCTCAGTGGTTAGGAACGTCAGACCATGGACTGAAGGGTCGTGGGTTCGATTTCGGTCAAGGGCATGTACCTGGATTGCAGGTTTAATCCCCTGTCCCAGCCTGGGCACGTGTGGGAGGCAACCAATCGATGTGTCTCTCTCACATCAATGTTTCGCCCTCTCTCTCCCACCCTGTCTCCCTCCCTCCCTCTCTCCCTTCCACTCTCTAAAAGAGAAAAATCCGTGGGAAAATATCCTCGGGTGAGGATTAACAGCAACAATAAAAAAGTTTTTTAAAAATGGACACAAATCAACTTCCTCATGCTTCTTTTTTTTTTTTAAGTTGAATATTTTTTTTTTATTATTTATTACAAAGGATATTACATATGTGTCCATTTTTCCCCCCG